GTGGGTTGATTGGAGACCACCACACAAAGCCATGAACTCCATAGATGAAAATTGCAGTCAATGAATTAGTAAAACCACAATCTGCAAAGGGACAAACTGGCCATGACTCTCTTGGCCATGGCTTTGAGTGGAGCAGAAAGAAATAGCTAAGTCTTCATTTATAATTTGTAAATACAACCCTCCTTCAAGCAGGTTTGAGATTAGAATTTCAATGTATAGTGTAGCCTAAAAGGTCTCAGACTAAAAATTTTGTCTGTAGTGGTCCCTGACTGGTAGTGAGCACAAGCTACAACTGGAGGAAAGAACATCAAAACCAATCTACAAAGATTATCTTCAAAGTTCAAACAGTATGAGTTTAGAATCTAAAAATCATTAAATAATTGAGTCAACAAGCCTACATTATTGACACTCAACAGAAAAATCAAACTAATGAATAGTGCCCAGAAAGGCTGCATATACAGGAATAATCAAGTACAATAACAAAATAATCATGTTTATAAGTCTTTTAAGAACAGTTTGTTAGGTGGCTGAGTTAACAAGCAGATTCAATGCAATTGGAGAAAAAATTCTAAAAGTGGAACATTGGTATGAAAACATTTCAGAATTTGTTGCCGTGAAAGAAATATGAAAATATAAAAGTAAAATTAAGAAAGATGGAGGACAGAGTAAATATAGATAATATAAATTTACTAGTAGCTTATCTTTGATTTCCTTGACAGAGAATAGGGGAGAGGCAATATTCAAAAAGATAATATACGACATTTTTTCTAGAATTGTTGAAAGACACCAATTACATTGTCAATAAATTCCAAGTAAAAGAAATGACAATAAGTCAGAATCTACTTCAGAATATTAAAGACAGAGAAAATCTTACATACTGCTAAAAGGAATTCATTTATTGGCATATTATAACTTTTTAAAAACATTTTCTGGAAGGAGTAATTTCTTAAAATTTTCAGTATATGGATGTTCTCTTGATAATATTATAGAGACTCCTTTCCTCCAAATATTTGTATTTTATTTCCAAAATATAGAAATATAGTCTGAAAATGTGTGTGTTGGGGGACGTAATGTTTGGGGCTAGTCACCTCTGCTTTCATTGCCAAACCTTCACCATAAATTGCATCATTGTATGCTTTGTATTTTGCTTTTTTTATTTAACTATCATTAAATCATGAGCATTTTCCATATTGCTAAATGGTTGTTATAATTATCATTTTAATGGCTTCCCTTTATTCTATGAAATTCATTCCATTATAATTTCCTCAGTCATTCCTCCCTTATTGGACACTTAAGGTTTTATTTCTCTCAAATTTGGATTATTATATATAACACTGACATAATATACATTTTTATTCATATAGCTTCACTTTTATTTTAAATCAGTTCATTAGGAAAAATTCCCTAAAGTGACATTATCACATCAAATGTTATTGAGCCAATTCCCAAAAGGTATGAATAAATTTACACTTCCACCAGGCATTTTGATATGTGCCAGCTTTTAGCATATGGGTCAGCATTAAGTATTACAAATTTAAATAAGTATCTACGAATTTTCTAGGTGTAAAGGCATTTTTATTTAAATAATGAAATGGAAATTTTCCTATGTTTGTTTAATTGTTTTTTATCTTTTGCTCACAAATTATCAGTACTTAGGCTATTTAAACTTATCTTTTTAGGACCTTACGCTAGTCTTACAAGCCTAGCATAATACTGTGTGTAATGCATGCTTATAACACGTAACACAAATATTCTTTTGGGGTGGGTTATCAGGAAAAGCTTTAAAAACATGTAGAAGTTTGTGCTGGTAAGTTTTGCTTACTAATACTGTGCATAAATAGGGACCTATATTTTCTAGCACCATTGGTATGAGAATACTGGTGTGACAGCCACTATTGGCTCACCTAACACTTCTAACCCTATTCTCTCTTACCTATCTCTTTCAAAGAGGTTGAAACAATTAAAATGTTTATTTCATAGACATTGTGAAGCTGGAGGTGGCTCTATTATACAGTTCTGGACAATAAAATGTAAGCAAAAATATGCTGCTGCCTTTTCCCCCATTTTCTTTTTCTCCTTTCTTGGATGATGATGTGCTGGCTGGAGCTACAGCATCCATCTTACAATAATGATAAGAAAACCAGGAGAATGGCAGATAGTGCAGCCTTGATTTTATTAAGTTGCTACAATAATGCCATGAACTTTCTACCTCTTCCCCAAATTTATTTGCGTGTAAAATAAAATCCTATTTGTTTAAGTCATTACAGTCAGAATTCGTGTTATTGTCTGTGGAAAGAATTCCTAATTAACATACCTGAATTGTGTGAGAGGGGAGTTGGATCTCTATTTTATAAACACTCACTTTTAAAACTAACCCAAAGTGAGCTTTATTTATAAGCATACCATTGTGAGCTCATGATAACTGACCAAAGTAGAGATCAAAATTTCTAAATTTTATTGATCCATTTCCCATATCATATCTAGAGATATGAATGAGTATCCTGGAGCAATAATGAAATAATTTTTTTTTAAATGCTCACATTCAAAAACGGAAGAGCATAATGTAAAGACACTCACATACAACCCAGGAAACTCAAGACCCACTTGACAAATACAATATGTATCCAACAGATGATCCATTCGTGCCTTTCCATATCTACCCATTTATAGGCATTCTTTATCCATTTATCTTATATTGAGGATATGCCATTGGGAGGTATGCGCTTAATGCCAGGGATGCCAGATGGTGCTCAGTCTTTCCTTTGAGAATTTCTCTTCCAGGCCGGTAATGGAGTGTGAGAGGAGGTCATTTATATAAACAAAGATTTTTGATACTGTGTGAGAGTAAAAATAATAGAGCAGTAAAGAGAGATTATTAGTGGAGGGCAAGCAAAATGGTATAAGGGACTTGCCCAAATCCCCACAGCCAATAAAGTGGTATGAGGTTTGTTAATTGAGGTCTTCTGGACTGATCTTTTTAAGATGCCAACCATGGTCTGAAATAGGTATGGTAACATGCAGGATATCAATTTTTTTTTTTTTTTTACATTATGAAGATACTATTGTTTTAGCTGTTGTTACAGAAGTTGATTGGTATAAAGGAATTGGCTCTAACCTATCAATATGGCGCATGACATAAGATTTATTTCCCCCAAGGACTCATCCTTCTTTTGACCTCTACAGAGTACCTGTGTTGTGCTCTGCTAGATTCTGGGCTACAGATGTGTTTACAGTGTTGCCTGTCAGCCAGATTCTTACTCACATTCTCCTTGTCAACCCTCCCTTGCCACTGGCGAGGTAGCTGACTGAGCAGGGGGTGCGACCTTCACTTCTTTCTCCCAACCAAGCCAGCCATTCTAGAATGAAGAAAAGCAGCCTGGAAAGAGGGTGGGGAAAACATCAGACTTTAGAGCTTAGGAAAGAAACTCAGGTTTCTCTTTCTCTTTAAAAAAAGTGATCTTTTCTATTGACTTAAGAAAAAAAAATCAAAAAACAACTTATTCAACAGCTGTCTTTCCCCTCTGACTGCTGTTGTTTATGGAGGAACAGACTTCCCTTAACTCTGAAGTAATGTCTCCTTTCTTTAGGAAAACAGGTGTCAAAACATGCAGCAAATCAAATTTTCAAAAAGCTGAAATAAACTTGAGGACTTTCCACTTTTCTTTATGCTTTTACCTAGAAATGTTTTGTGAAATTTATAATTTCCCAATTTGAAATTTCATTTTTCCTTGTGATTCTTATAATCAACATTTCTGAATTATGACTGCCCTATCTCTTTCCTTTATAATAAATTACTATTATTTGGATTTGAAAGTTTATTTTTTAAAGAATTATAATTGACTACTGATTATTTTTTATTTAGCTGAAATACACTTAAAAGCATATAGACCCCAGGACCACACTGAATTCCATCATATTAAACATCTTTACTGGAAAGAGAAAAAGAAATGGAGCTAATAATAATCAGTGTGATAAGGATTGTGAACCATTCTTTATGATCACATGTATGGAGGGGAGAATTATGATCCCATTTTACAGATGAGAAAATCAAGGCAAATACAGAGTTCGCTAAGCCCATGCTCACACAGTCAGAAACTGGGGAAACCTAATTTGATCTAATTTCAAAAACCACACACTTGCTACATTACCATACAATAAAGTCTCTCCTAGTCTATGTACAGTATTTTATTTAGAGTAGGCAAGCCAGAATTTACCTAACTCTATTACTTACTAGTTACTAGGCTTTGGTTAAGATACTTATTTTCGTGTGTCTGAATCTCCTCAGTGGAATGGAGAAAATAATGTTCTCTACCACATAGGGCTTCGGTACGGATCCCCTGAGTTAATGCATACCAAAGAGCTCAGAACAGTACCTGGCATGTAGTAATGATCAATGAAGTCTGTTAATTGTTGTTTTTATCTGTTACTTCATAGATTGTACTGTGAAGTGCATGTCATGACTTTGCTTTCATGCATTAGCTCAGTACACCTGAATGGATGATTCTAAATAAATAGTGTGTGTGTTTTTAATAAGTTGCAGTGTTCAATATTTATATATGAAGAATTTTCCCACTCTTCTCCATTGGCTGACAAATTTAGGAAAAAGAAAAGTATCCCTTTAGTAAGATTGTTTATAAACTTTTATTTCAATGGTGGAATTATTTTAAAAATACAGATAGAAGCGTTGCTGCTTTGACCACGGTGGGGAGGGGACTGACTCCTGGATCTCCCTCCACCCCCCTGCCCTTTAGTACCCCTACCAGCTCATTATTGCACTGGGGACTTTTCTTGGGAACCCCGTGTTTCCAAGCAACACAGACTGAAAACCACCAATCCACAAATCACGTGACAAAACACACGTCAGCAGTGACTGACAAATACTATTAATTCTCAGTTTCTGTGATAAGCATGTGTCTAGGCGTCCCTTTTCTCAATTTCAAATTGTCACCAGTCAGTTCCCATTACCTATAGTCACTACCAATGCTTTGTTTAACTGGCAGGGACTCCAGTTTGGTACCGGAGAACTGGAAGAGATGGGAGCCATGTTCTGCTTGGGCCTCCTCATCTTGGAACTCAGATCTGCGAGCTGCAGCCATCAGCTCCTGACTCGAGCTGCAACTCTGCTGAATGCGGAGGAAGAGGGTCTGGACCACCACCTTCAGAGGTAAGATGCTCGCGGATGCTTGAGAGATATTTGGATCTTTGTGTTCCAATTGTTGAATATCTCAGTAATGTCAAGTGGACCGAGGGGTCTTTACAGAGGACAAAATATGGAAAAGTTGCCAGATGAAGGTGACTGCAGTTAGGTTCTACTGGTAAGCCAGACTGGGATATCCTCATCTTCTGTAGGAAGGAAGACAGGAAGGATGCTGTCTGCTTGTACGCAGACATGCAAATATAAAGTACATGCATTTATAAATGTGTTATTACTGCATTTTGATTATGATAAAGAAGATACAGGTTGGTGACATACATGCACATTTACATACTCTTATATTTGTCAGTTATGCATTTATATGTGTACAGATAATATTTTTGAGCCATTACTCAGCAAAAATGGCAGTTCCACTGCCCAGGTCTAGGCACTTGGGGGCAAGAAATGTTTTAATCTTCCCATTCTCAAACAGCAACATTCATTCTCAGAAGATAAGGGTAACTGCCGGAAGATGACTGATGCTTTGTGACTGGCAGCCACAGCAGGGAAAGGCTGGATCTGAGAATGGGGTGGAGCATTAAGGAGCCAGGCAAGGAAGAACTGTTATCTAAATGAGCCCTTTTGATGTCTCTCCCTGTAGACAAATATTTTGGAGTTGGCCACAGCAAATTCAGGGGTGAGACAGGAGGAAATAATGGCCATATAAGAGGACAGGGGAGCAAGAGGACTCAAAGGAGGCCAAGTCTGAGCAACAGAATGGGAGAGCACAAAGCTGTCACAGGAAGTGCTGGCCAGTGCCCGCTGGTATGAGAGGAGGCATCCCTCATGCACTTCACGTCCACAGGCAGAGAAAAGGCACTAATACTGGGGCCATTTTGTTTCTAGCTCGCTTTCATTAATTTTTCTCCCGCCACTGTTAGGCTGCTGTTCCAGTGTGACTTCTCACCAAATGCCCAGTCAAGTTTAGAAAGGTCCAAGCAGGGTACACTAACACTGCATTGGAAGGTCCTGGTTTTTTGAGACTTAATTATCTAAATGCGGCAATTAACTTGCTCATCACACTGGGCTATCGATCACAGATCGTCGAGACTTAAATAAATCCAGATCTCTTTCTTCTATAGAGATACTGTTGCTGATTTCTTTGGTTTTGACATCACAACGGCTTCCTTCCGCTGCTGCTCCCTTCAACTCCCCTCTGTGCCCCAACGATCGGGTGTGTTTGGCATCCTTGAGGTGTTTGCAGACTCTCCCTCTGACAGCGAGCACTTCCACCTGCCAGGATATATATTTCAATTTGTCTTTTCATCTTTTCCTTTGCTGAGCTATCTTGGATGCAGGCAGGCCTGACTTTTCTTTCTTTCTTTCGGTTTTTCCCCCGTCTCCTCCGCTGCTCATTGAGGGAAGATTGAGCAGAGCTGGCATTGCTTGCTTGCCCCAAATTGATGGTGCCCGTCTGTTTGATCCAATGCAGCAAGGATTAGTTGCCTGTAAACTGGAGCAAGAAGAAATCTATCAAAGAAATGCCTTTTCTAATTCAAGTCTAAAGAATTTGCTGTCAGGCTTCAAATACAATGGCTGCTATGTGGGTTATCATAAGGAGATAGGATTACCTGCGTCTGCTCTCCCCATGCCATCCCACACAACTGACTATTAATTTTTCAGTTGCAAACTGTCCAAGGGTACTAAAATTAAAAGTCCTCCCATGACCTTCTACCCTTCTCAGGGTGGAACAGCTCCCTAAGGGCAGGACACCTGAACATAGGATGTGATTACTACGTGTGCTTTGAATAGATTTGAATTAAATTTGGCAGGCATGGAGTTTGATGGAGGGAGGGAGGAGGGAAATTGCCCATTTCACCCAGACATTTGTATCATGATGTATTTTCCTATTCACTAGGAAACAGTTGACCACAGGAGATTGTGGTTCCTGTTCCAGGGACCTGAAGACTACATGATTGAGAGGAAAATTACCCTGAAAATTTCTTGACCAAAAATATTCCAGCCAATAAGCTTATAATCATGAAGAGATGAGAGAGAGGAAATTAAAAACTTAAAATCTATTGAATTGAAACCAGCAACAGGCTGTTAGAGTACCATTTGATTAGTTTCTGATGAATAGGGTTAATCCTGAGATATAATAATCAGCAGAGTGAATCCTAGGAATTTTGTTAGCACCAGGGTTCTTATTATAATACAAAGTATGTAACTAATGTTTGTCATCATATTTCTATATGATTTAAAATGGAGACCTTTGCCACCCTCCTCTCTTCCTACCTCTTCCTTCGGTATATAACAGGGCTTCCTTCAGAAAGATTCTTTTTTGTTATGCTCAAGGAATTCCTAAAAAAGGCAGGGGCAGGGGCTCTTCTCCAAATGTCTGCCCTAATGAAATGCAAGGATGTGGTATCACATCCTTTCTTAGGCCCCACAAACAGCATTGACCCCTCAGAGGGATCCGCTGGGAAGACAAACTGTTGCTGAACATGTGGACATCATGTTTTTTGACAATAGGTTTCATGCCTCATTTAGCATAGAAATAATTAGAGTGTAGTCAACATCCACAGAGCAACTGACCGTCTTTCATGAGCAGAGGAAAAGCAGAGATCATGGATGTTTGCCTAGTTGCTGAAGCTTCAAATGAAATGCCCGCTGGCTTTGTTTTGAGTTTCTTCTTACAGTTCCCTTCTTCCTCTTTGCTCATTTAAGAAATGTCTGCAGATCCATGAAGGCTGTCTTTTGCTCTTCTTTCCTTTCTCCTTCCTCTCGATCTTATCCCTGGAAATAATTGTGTGTGCACTGCAGTAATGCTAAACTGCTTCTTCAGGAGGCACCGTTTATCCATTGTGACAGGTCTTTTGCAAAGTCATTTAACAGTTTTGCCGAGTCAGCCAGTGTTCCTCCCGATTTGTATCCTCCACTGCCTCTTGCTCTTTGCAGCTGAGCTCCCCTGTCTCCATTTGTTCCTCCGTTAATAACAAGAGAGCTCAGAGTTTCAGAGCTGTGCCCCTGCAATGGCTCAGTATCTGGTGTGCTCCCAAACTGTACCTGGGCTCCCCTTAGCACCTACACAAGATGAGTGTGCTTAGTTCTCTCTCTAGTTTGCTGGGGCGACACTAAGAAAATACAAAATCTTAAATAGACTTAGAAAAATCATTTAATAATTTTTTAATAATTAAAAAGACATTTGATTTTCATTTTAAAAAATATAGTTTTGTTTTTCTGAATGAGAAAATAAAATTTGGAAAACACAAAAGAGCACCCTCATCCCACCTAACCATCCAGATAACCACTGTCAACATTTGGGTGAAATAGCCTAGATTGTTTTTTCTTTTCTATTTTCCCCCCAAATTAATTAATGAATTATTTTAATTGACAAAATTGTATGTGTTTATTCTGTACAACATGACACCTTGAAGGACATATGCATTGAGGAATGGTTAAATCTGGCTAATTAACATATGCATCACCTCACATAGTTATTTTTGTGGTGAGAACACTTAACATCCCCTCTCCCAGCAGTTCTCAAGAATATGATAATATCTCCATTAATTATAGTAACCTCGCTGCACAATTGGTCTTTTGAAATCATTCCTAGATTACTTTTTCATTTATGAATTATAGATATAATAATCTCAACTATAATATATATGTTTCCTTTCTCACAGTTTTAAAGTTACTGGTTTTTTTTATATTAAAATCTTTGCCATTTTTAGGTGAAAATGGGGTAGTATTTAATTTATAATTTAATGTTTTCTGATATGGATAAAAATACTTCCACATGATGAATATTTCTTTTTTATAAATTTCCTGACTATGGTTTTTTGATCATTATTCTGTTAATCATCCTTTTTTCCTTCTAAATTTATATTTAAATTTAATTTAAATTTCTACGTTAAAGGTATTCAACTTCTTTTTGTCACATGTGTTACAAACATTTTCCCAAAATTATCATTTACCTTTCATATTTTTCATGTAATTTATTGACATTTGATGTTTTTGTTTTTAAGTAGGCATGTTTACCAATCTTTTTATTTTGTTTGTTTCTTTTACCTCTGGTAAACCTATCTACATTTAATAACAAATAAGTTTATACCTACTGGGAACATATGTTAATTTGTCTGTTACTGAACTGAAGTAGCTAATTTATAATGAGTATATTTACATATTATTATTTCATTTACTTTTTTTAAAACTATTGAATCATTTTGTATTTTTAAATAATCTACCTTTTAACACTGATTAATAATGTCAGTTTATTATAATGTATGTACTTGTACACATGCCTGGGTACATTTTTAGATTTATGTTCTGTTCCATTAGTCTATTTGCCAGGAACACATAGTTTTTAATATGGTAGCTTTGTAATTTAAATGTATGATGTTGCAAGCACCGAATCATTAGTGTTTGTTTAGAAATATGTTTTGCTACATTCTCTTCTTTATTTCACTGATGAACTCTATAATGGATTGTTAACTGCCAAAACCTAATCCACTCACATTGAAATTAGAGATTATTTTTGGCCTATTGAATGCTTATCTATATTTCTTTTATAATATCTGATATTTTTCTTCACTTATTCAGATCTTCTTTGATGTTCATCAATCAAGTATTGTAGGGATTATCTTTGTACATTTTTAATGTAGTTCCTGGATGTATCATCATAAACCTTTAATATCAATATTTTAAAATATTTTGTTACTCTTAAAGTGTCTTTTTCATCATTATTTTTCTAAGTGCTTGTTTCAGTTATATGGGAAATTTATAGATTATTTTTATGTTTATTTGTAACTTCACTAAAGTTTTTACTTATACCTAAAAGTATTTACGTGGATTTTTCTCCTTTTTTTAAAAGATAGGCAATAGTATCATTTATAAATTTTGACAGTTAGCTTTGCTTACTTCTTTTTCTTATCTTATGACCTTGGCTAGAGTTTTGAGAACAGTGTTTAAGGATGAGGATTCTATGAACATCCTCATCATAAACTTAACTTCAAAATGAGAATGATTAT